CTCTCTCTCTCTCTCTCCGGTCACACACTCTCTCTCTCTCTCTCTCCGGTCACGGTCACACTCTCTCTCTCTCTCTCTCTCTCAGTATTCGGTGCCCGGCCCGGTCCATACTCACGTTACGCCGTTTCTTGGCGGGTTCTGCTGATGGCTCCTGGTTTCGCGCCTTTCTCTCGCCAATTAATGCTTTCAGAACGCGACGAGAGCTGTGATTGGTTAATCCTAAGAGCGATATTGTGATTGGCCAGCCGTGGTGTTCTATGCTGTGATTGGCTGGCGGGGAGCGATGCTGTGATTGGCTGGCGGGGAGCGATGCTGTGCGTGATGTAAGTGTAATCCAGCTCTGTGATTGGTTGCCGTTTGGTAGCACTGTGATTGGCTAGTGCTTCCTAGACTAATCAGTGATTGGCTGTAAAGGTGGCGCCATGCTGTGGATGGCGATAGCTGCCCGCCAGCCGCTCTGTGATTGGTGGAACGTGTCGCTTTACGGCAGAGTTGACGTTGGCGTCTTATTAGTTCACAGAAGTCTCTGCGGAGGAGAATTTCCGTTCCCGTCTTGCTTTGCGTGACCTCTGACCCCAGTGAGAGAGACGTGGCGGAGCCGATAGCGGAGACATGGTGAGACCCGAGCGATGTACTAACGGTGTCCGCACTGCGGCTCTCTGTCTCTCTCTCTCCCCGGCTCTCTGTCTCTCTTCTCCCCGGCTCTCTGTCTCCTCTTCTCCCCGGCTCTCTGTCTCTCTGTCCCCCCACCCCCGGCTCTCTGTCTCTCTTCTCGGCTCTCTGTCTCTCTTCTCCCCGGCTCTCTGTGTCTCTCTCTCTCCCGGCTCTCTGTCTCTCTTCTCCCGGCTCTCTGTCTCTCTGTCCCCCACCCCCGGCTCTCTGTCTCTCTTCCTCCCAGCTCTCTGTCTCTCACCCCACCCCCGGCTCTCTGTCTCTTCTCCCCCACACCCCGGCTCTGTCTCTCTTCTCCCGGCTCTCTGTCTCTCCTGTCCCCCCCACCCCCGGCTCTCTGTCTCTCTTCTCCCAGCTCTCTGTCTCTCTGTCCCCCACTTCCCCCGGCTCTCTGTCTCTCTCTCCCAGCTCTCTGTCTCTCTTCTCCAGCTCCTCTCTCTCTCTGTCCCCCACCCCCAGCTCTCTGTCTCTCCTTTGCTCCCCGGCTCTCTCTCTCCCCACCCCGGCTCTCTGTCCCCCCCTCTTTCTCTTTGTTTTGTTTTTTTAACAGTGAGCAGCCACTGGTCAGTAGGGGCAGAATGTACTAATACTAAGTAAACTTTATTTAAATTTAATTTGGCTGAAAGACCAAATATATTCTTACGCTATCTACTAAGCGGTTTCAAGATGCAGCCGCGGCACGAATCGGAATTTAATTCTTTAGAATGAAATTACAATCTGAAAAAAGTCCCGAATTGCGTCCTAACACGAATGGAGAAACTGTTCTCATTCTGTTAAGACGCAATTCGGTAGTTTCGCCGGCATTCTGTCTAAATGACAGGACTTTCGGGAAAAGTGAAAGGAGCCTTTGTGGGAACATGGAGGAAAGGTGAGAATTTTCTGACTACCGGAAATGAAGCACACTTTGCTCCTCCGCTGGTCAGAGATGGTCAGTTGTAGGAAACCGCCATAAGACACATAGTCCCTACTTTGTCTTATGTTTTTAAAGAAAACTAGAGCAGACAGGAAGAAATGAAGAACAGATACTGAGAGAGGGAGAGAAGAGGAATCGATTAGAGAAAGGTAAGTTTGGCATGACTGTGCCGCTTTAAGGTGTATTTTATTATTCACCATTTGTGAAGGTGTATTTTAGCGGGTTTTAATGTTTGTGCTTTGCTGTTATGGTGCTGTACAAATGTACTAAAACAAATATTATAAAACAATTTGAAAGGCTCTCTGTTAGCATATCATCTCCCAAATCCGGACACTGCCATGATGTGGTTAGCTAGGAGGCATCTAGTCGCCGGCACCACTGGCTGTGGCAGATCGTAATCTCACTGTGTGCAGGGTTTTGTTATCCCTTGAGCACGGTAAGTACTTGCACACTGATACACTATTTGCTTTGAGTAAAACTAATGACATACGCTAAAGTACACTTTTACTATATTATGCAGCTCTGGGAGCTCACAGAATGGTTCATTATAATATATAATTCTTTATAAAGGAAATGTCACTTCCCTTCAATTTACATCATTTAATAAAACCGTAACAGTCTCTTTTAACCAATGTTAAAGGACCACTATAGTGCCAGGAAAACATACTCTGTTTCCTGGCACTATAGGGTCTCTAGGTCCATCCTCCCGCCAGGCTCTAGGGTGAGGAAGGGGTTAAACACTTTTCTCCACTGCCAGTTCCCTCGGTGGTGGGGACTCTCCGCCTCCTGTCCCCGTCATTGGCTGAATACGCATGCGCCGCTCGCGCATTCAGCTAGTCCATAGGAAGGCATTCTCAATGCTTTCCTATGGACGCTGGTGTCTTCTCACTGTGAAGATCACAGTGAGAAGTGCAGAAGCGCCTCTAGCGACTGTCAATGAGACTGCCACTAGAGGCTGGATTAACCCATTTGTAAACATGTTTACAGCAGAAAGGGTTAATCCTAGATGGACCTGACAACCAGACCACTTCATTAAGCTGAAGTGGTCTGGGTGCTTATAGTGGTCCTTTAACCATTTTCCCATGAAATGCGCTGTTTTCTTTTACATTTATATTAGAGATTTAGCAAATGAGGTCACAATCCATTTTCGACAAGGCTGAAAATGAAGAGGAGAGATAGTAACATTGTTTCATGTCTGCTCTCTATGCTGACAGCCAGGTGTAAAGGGCGGAGCTTATAACAATGATTGACAGGGAGCTTAGATGGAGGGGGCTCTCTCTATACTGACTGCCAGGTGTAAAGGGCGGAGCTTATAACAATGATTGACATGGAGCTAAGATGGAGGTGGCTCTCTCTATACGGACTGCCAGGTGTAAAGGGCGGAGCTTATAACAATGATTGACAGGGAGCTAAGGCACTCCATTGGTTACATGACATTTACATTGTCACACCTCACCAATACATATCTTCTAAAGTAAACATAATCTTATAAATCCTGGGAAATGAAATTTCCCTTTAATACGGCACTATCCTCTCCCCCGGGAAAATAACCTTTTCATGAAGATAGAATATTTATTAACTTCTCATATTGACTGTTATAAATTCACTGAAATTCCTCCAGCCAACAAATATAACAGACCGAGCAGGTAGTACTTTGTCTCTGTGTATTTAATACTTCAAGACATTGGACGAACCTACTGCCATCTAGAGGTGTCAGTCCCGCCAGCCATCACCAGTGACGACTGCAGGGAGTTGACTCTTTCTGTGGAGAATCTTGCGGGGACCTCAGTGCTGTACGTTCATGCATGCAGTGACATCGACTTCTAGCACTGAAGCTCCAGGAGCTAAAGATGAATGGCTGGAGCAAGATTAGAGGACGGGTCCAGGTAAGTATATCTCACCTTTACCTGTCCCCCCAGCCGAATTCTGCAAAGTTCCCAGATGGCGATGGTGCCGCTTTAATGTAATATATGGTTTGAGAGAAGCATTCGTTGCATTAAGCGTCTTCATTCTGCGCCTGGCTGTCTGTTACTCGAAAGCCAAGTTTCTACATTGTTTGAAGAAAGGGACAGCATCCATATACAATACCAGTATTAGGAAAAGGGTCCAGGCACCTTTATTAGAACATGTGCTCACTCCAAAAACTCCACTGTTCTAATAAAGGTGACTGAAGACATTGGAATGACTGGACCCTTTTTCTAATACAGGTATTTATTATCGTCTGGGCTTGTGCTGGCCCTTGGTTCAGCTAAGCACCCTGTCTTTAGGGAATTGAGTGTGGTTCCTTTTCCATTTTTGCAAAGCATCCACTATATTAAAGTGCAGTGATGTGGTGCTTGGTCTCCCTTTTAATAAAGGTACACTAGTCCCAGAATAAGTGTCAGTTATTTAATCTGTCCTGTTCAGAGTGTAATTTCAGTAAATGGAAAGGACATAATGTGGCAAGCACATAAACATTGTTATATAGCACTCGCTGAGAACATGAAGGCTACTGAAACATTACAAATCGTGCGTACGGGAGGGAACATTACAAAGATTAATAAAATAAGCCAGGCAGTCGGTATATATTGTCCTCAGTTATCGTAAAGATACAATATCAAATTCACACTTTCAGGCTAAAGATGTGCTGAAATGTATCTGAAATAAATGTCTTTCATTCTGTATGATTCATCCTCTGCTTTCCATTCTCAGTACTACACATGAACGTGTAGCTCCATGTTAATGGTTTTCTTGTGGTTTGTCCTACAGGAGCTGGAAGCAATGACCCGATACACAAGCCCGGTGAATCCAGCAGTGTTCCCACATCTAACAGTCGTGCTGCTTGCCATCGGAATGTTTTTCACAGCCTGGTTCTTTGTGTATCCTCTTGATGTATTATATCATTTAAGAACAAACAACAAATGTATTTTGTGTAGTGTTGAGGGTGGGGATAGTACTTTTGGAGGGTTGCAGATAGTATCCTTTATCCAATCTTTGTAAAAACCATTGCAGCTAAAAGACAGACTCCCAGATCTGCCAGTCAGACAGCCACTATTCTGTCTTCTGGGGTTCCTGTGTCCGTTATGTCCATGTTGTATACGCAGCGTTACACTGATCTGTCTTTTCCCAGAATTTCTGTTTTGTATCAGAATTCCAGTTTAGTATTTTGTGTAACTTGTGAATAAAGTGATGGCAGCCATGGCATTCTCTGTGATGAGTGGAACTGTGGTTGGGCTATAAGCTGGTTATCCAATAAACTTCTGTTGGAGAATGGTTTATACCCCACAAATTAGAATGATAGCTTTGCATTTTTTTTGTAATATATAATAATGCAACAAAAATAGTGGACCATTTGTATCTCATTATTTCTCTTTAATGTTTTAGTTCTTGCAGCACATATTAAAGGACCACTCTAGGCACCCAGACCACTTCAGCTTAATGAAGTGGTCTGGGTGCCAGGTCCAGCTAGGCTTAACCCATTGTTTTATAAACATAGCAGTTTCTCTGAAACTGCTGTTTATCAATGGGTTAAGCCTTCCCCCAAAGCCTCTAGTGGCTCTCTCATTGACAGCCGCTAGAGGCGCTTGCGTGCTTCTCACTGTGATTTTCACAGTGAGAGCACGCCAGCGTCCATAGGAAAGCATTAAGAATGCTTTCCTATGTGACCGGCTGAACGCGCGCAGCTCTTGCCGCGTGCGCGCATTCAGCAGAGGAGGAGGAGGAGAGCTCTCAGCCCAGCGCTGGAAAAAGGTACGTTTTTACCCCTTCCCCCCCCTTCCAGAGCCGGGCGGGAGGGGGTCCCTGAGGGTGGGGGCACCCTCAGGGCAGTATAGTGCTGGAAAACGGGTATGTTTTCCTGGCACTATAGTGGTCCTTTAATTTATACCTCTTTGCCTAAAAATATATCCTTTTTGCATTTTCTCCAGCATTCGTTAATAACTGGTTCGTAAAAAAAAATTGCTTGTAATTCACTTCTAACCCTGGGCATACCGGGCAGCTTCCCCAGTCTACAGTATGCAAAATATACATTTAAAGGCTGACAAACAGTGAAAGTAGGTTATACAGTAACAACATAGAGCCAGCACTTCTTAAAGTGTGCCTGTCATCCCCCAAAAATAATTTAATTCCTTCTGTACCTATTGCTGACAAAGGCCTGGGATTTACTGCTGTTGGCATGATAGTAAATACGACATCTAAGGGTGAACAGCTGCTCCACCATAAATTGACAGTCATACCAGCAATGCGTGTTGTGGCAGTTTCGCCAGTACAGTTTGTAGGATATATGTTCTTATATAATTATACCTTGAATGTGACAATGTCAAGGTCACAAGTACATCAAAGTACCACAATCTTGGTTTAAAGGACCACTATAGTGCCAGAAAAACAAACACTTTTTCATGGAACTATATAGTCCTTGGGTCGCCCCAACCCTCAGGGCCCCCCTCCCGCTGGGCTTAAGCCGGGCTCCCTCTGCACCAGTGACCTCAATGCTTTCCTATGGACGTTCTGCATGCTGAATGTGATTTTCGCATTGAGCGTCGCGGAAGCGCCTCTAGCGGCTGTCAGGAAGACAGCCACTAGAGGCTGGATTAACCCTGCAATGTAAACATAGCAGTTTCTCTGAAACTGCTATGTTTACAGCTGCAGGGTTAAAACTTGGGAACCTGGCACCCAGACCACTTCATTGAGCTGAAGTGGTCTGGGTGACTATAGTGGTCATTTTAATCACTGGCCACTGTCATATATATTATTTTATCCTTTATATTGTTTAAGATATGTTTGTTAGTTTCACATTTGGGCCTTTCAGTCATATTTCTGTCTGTTTTTTATATTGTATGATGTAGTGTGGCACAAAAATGTTCTTTGTCTCTCTTGTTTTCCTTAATATACAAATGCCAGCTATGAAGTGACTTCCACCAAATACACACGAGATGTATACAAGGAGCTTCTTATCTCATTGGTAGCCTCTCTCTTCATGGGATTCGGGGTCCTTTTCCTGTTACTGTGGGTTGGGATTTATGTGTGACCAAGGAGGTAAGCCACGTACTCACATGTTGAAATTGTCACCATGTCTGTAACATACTAATGCAGTCCTTAGAGAAAGTCTGTCTGGGACAAAGCCTCTTTGAAAAATTGCACAACTCCCCCAGAATATCATGTTGAATATTCCAGTTCAATCAGCTGTCACTTTTTCAACACACATTTCTGCAGGTTTATTGTTCAATGGCATGTTGTTGCAAGCCAGGGCTTTCTTATCAAAGCATGGATTATGATCCTAATGAATTAAAGACCAACCTGTTGCCTGTGATTGTTCATTATTTCTGGACTTCTCACGATGTTGGAGATATGGTCACGTTTTGGAAATTAAACTGGTAGCATTAAAACACTGGTACAAGCAGAATGTGACTTAAAGGGTCACTCCAAATCCCTAAAGCACGTTATCTCACTGAAAAGCCTTGTGTAAAGAGTGTGCCCTATTGTTTTCATTTTGGAAAAAGTGCAGATTTCAATAGAAATTGTCACTTTTTTAAAATTAACCTGGTTACACCGACTGGCATTTTAAACGGACAACCGGTCCTGTTACTTCCTGGTTTGGTTAGCTTATTTGTACTGAACACGAGGCAGCAATTGCTCAGAGCACCTGCCCTGCAAAGACTTCATTAAGCTGCATTGGGAAGTCTGTGATTGGACAGCCACCAAGTCCGGGCGGGGTTAGAAGGGGAGGGATTGCAAAGGGTGCAGACGAGATCTTTTTGAAGCTGTTTAGATATAATACCAATAAAAATGCATAATAAACGCATGCAAGTTTTCATTTGGGGTATATCTACTTAACAGTGAGTTTTATATATTTTGTGTTTGGGCATTGGCGTGTCCTCTTAAATTCCCTGCTAATTTCAGTGAACTCTGAAATGTACTGCTGTTTATCACCAGCATAT